CAATTAATATTCAATAGGACGTTGTGTATTTCATTTATAAAAGTTTAACTTTATTGGATATATTAAGTTTTAATTTTATGCTTTTGCAATGCCCTTTCAGGGCTAATATTGAGAACTGACACTAGCTTGTAAGAACTTATGTGCTACAACATTGATGCAATAAAGATTATGATGATGATGATGATGATGATGATGATAATAAATAGACATTGTAATTATTGCATTATATTAAAAAAAAATGCCTCGTGGATCGCAGTTCTGCAACACGAGATGTGTAAATCGAGACACTGTATTTTATTATAGGCACTTCAGCCGGCGGAACTTAGCTCTTCAGGGAAATGGAGCTTAAGTTTAAACGGCACTCACTGTACTAAGTTATCTATGTTACCAAGCAATAGGTACGCATATTTGTTCCGTTATTAATCCCAAGAGCAGCATATTTTTCCTTCAGAAGGATAACTTTACTAACAGTAGAACTCCTCGTCAATGAGTTCGTCTAGGGAAGTGCTGCCATCTTACCTATTTCTGCCGCCAACCAGTAATGTAATCATGACTGCGTTAAGGTTTTGATGGGTAAGAGTTCTGGTGAAATTACAGGCACATGGGACTTGTCTTATGCCTCAGAGTGACGGGCGCAGTGGCAATGCCCTTCAAATGTTTGCGATTTCAAGCTCTTAGTGGCGCTGCAACTGTTCGTCCCGTTACTTGATATCATAAAAAAAACTGCCACTCTGAAACCTTACTCTTACATAATTGTACGAATTTGTCTACTATATTTAGGGAGATCTGTCTCACAAATCAAACACTTTGTCAGAGTTCTAAAAGTCTATTACCCCTTACTAAAGTTTCAAAGGGTGTTCTTGGAACCGCCCCAGTTAAGTTTTGTAATTAGAATAGTCCGTGTTGATTAAAACAACAAACCTTGTAATAAAGCCATTGTAAGACAGTTTTCAAATTTAATTTTCTACATTTCTAAAGGGGCACAGATTTAATAAACCCGCAGCAAATAACAGACACGGTGCAAAAATGAATAGAAGGCAATATGAGATTCTGACGAATTCTAATTTAGATTTTCTCCTTCGTAGCCATTTTTGCTATGTACTTACTTCTTCTGATGTCAGTGATGTCTCTTTATCGATTTGAGCCCGAGCTCAGGTGGAAAAGAAAGAAATCGAGCTTCGTGTTTCAATCTGTTGATTGATGTGACATAACAAAACTAATCGCTCAGAAATTAATTTATATAGAGTTTGAAAATTTAAAAGGTCCATTTAATCCTAACTAATATTAAAAATGCGAAAGTAACTGTTTCTGTTACGTTTTCACACCAAAACCGCTAAACCAATTTTAATGAATTTTGGTATAGAGATAGATGGGACGTAGGAGAAGGACATAGGCTACTTTCTGTAACAAAAATAAATCTAAAGGCTGCGATTCCACTGGTCAATTAAGAAATGTCAGCATTACTGTTTCCCGGTTTTGAAGGATAAGGGTGCTGGTGAAATTACATTCACATGGGACTTATCAACTTATGTCTAAGGGTGACGGGCGTTGTGGCAGTGCCTTTCAGATCGTAGGGATTAAAAGCTCTGGGTGGTACTGCAATTCTTATGGACAGGCATGTAGCTTACCATCAGGCGCACGACTTGTCCGTCCCGATACTTAATTTTCCTAGCCACGTTTAGCGCAGCTTTGTGTAGAAAAGGGCTAGCGTAGCTAAAGTATTTGTACATACAAAAAAGAAAGAGATGAAAGACCACGCCGCACTCCACCCGCGAGCAGCTGCAAACTGCTCCGCTACTCGGATACGAGGATTCGCACCACCTTGCTACGCACCGTTTCACAGCTTTGCTACGCACCTTCGCACCGCCTAACTACCTCGCACAGCTTCGGTGGAATCTATCACACAGTTTCACAGCGCCCCTACACTTCCTCGTACTGCCTAGCTACCTCGCACAGACTTGGTGGAATCCATCACACAGTTTTACACCACACCGCTACACTTCCTCGTACTGCCTAGTCACCTCGCACAGCTTTGGTGGAATCGCAGCCTGAAGGGGGTAAAATAGGGGAAGAAAGTTTGTATGGAGAACCAATCGTTTCTTAAGTTAGTAGTCACGAAGTCACCGGAAACCAGCTAATTATATATAAAAACAAAATGCCGTGGTAGCCTTTGGTTCGACCTATCGCTACTCAAGCAGAGGCTGTGAATTGGAATCTGATCTCGCACTTCCGAGGTTTTCGGAATTAATATGCGAAATTTAATTTTAAATTTACCATGAGCTTGATGACCTCGGTGGCCTAGCAACAGCTTACGCCGTGGATGCTAAATGCGGAGGTACTGGATTCGATTCCCGGTAAGACCGATTTGGGAAACGAACTCGATCTAAGATGTTTAAATTAAATATTATAATGACAAATGTATATTCACAAAGAGCAACCCCTAGAGTTTCTTACTCGTTCCTCTTAGGGGAATCTGGCTTAGAATGAGTAGTACAGTTTAATCTGTATGACGATTTCAAGTGTAATTTGCTTTCCTATAAATGATAGATTATTTAACTTTGACTCTAAATTGGTTCTGGTCTAGATGTTCTGGAAAGTGCCCCAGAGTGAATTCCGTTACTCTGGTACTCATAGTACAAGGAACTCCCTAGTTTGAAAGCAGGCAATTGGTGTAGTTGTGTAGCATATTACATTTACATTTACAGCTTTTCAATGAAGGTAAACATCGTGATGAAATCTGCACGTCGAAAGGTTCACAACCACCACCACCGTGGACCACCGTGACAGACTATGTAGTAATAACGCATACACTCATCACAGCCCCGCACTAGGTAAACCCTCTGTCACAAGTGCCATGGATACACACATAGACAACCACAAAGTACACTCACGAAAGAAATAAATGTAGACCATACAAACATTTCTCCCCGCCCGGGAATCGAACCTGGAACCTCTGCGTGGCAGTCCGGCATGGCAACTATTCGGCCACGGAAGCAGTTCACCTGAGAGAAGCATGTCACCTGAAAGAAGACCCGTGCCCAGCAGTGGCACGTATAAATGAGTAACATTCATTGTTAATGTTGATTGTTGGTTTAATTATGACAGTTGGTCACGCCGATGCCAAGGTAGACGGCGCTTAGATTGTTCATCTAGGTACCCTAATTTCCCTTTAAAATTTATACTGCTGGCCTTTTTACTCCGCTGCAACTGAACTACCTATTCGTAGTTGGTACAGTCTACAACTAACTACCATGAGTAACGTGCGTCCGCCTTAGACCACCCATCAACGCTCACTTAGCTCCGTAGATTCACCGCCATATTCAACTAACGTACTCTGTGTAGTTTCACCTATGTATTGTGCCGTGTGTGAAATACCGCTTGTGTTTTGTACCCTTGGGTGTTAATGTACTGTAATGTTAAACGGTGATAAGGC